CTATTTTCCTATCTTTCTCTCTCTCTTCTTGCACCAATCGCCTTCCCTCCCTTTGTTTTTATAGGGTGGGGTGAGAGGAGTCCTGCATGATTTTTCTTCTCCGTCATCCAGGTCTCCTCTCCTCCTTTTTCAGTCGGTGGTAGAGGTGTACACACCTCTGTCTCTTCACCTTCCCTGACCAGAGGTAAACAACTCTGGTTTTTTTTTTCTTACCTAAAACAGCGCTGTTTTGGAAAGTTTCCCAAAACGACATCGTTTCAGGTCTGTTACAATAGTCCACTAACCGAAATAATCTTTGAGGAACCTGTAACATGATTGATATTCAAATTCGATTGAAGATTTTGAACCTGATATTGTTTTTACTTTTTCAAGATATCAAGAATTTCCCATAAATGTATACCAAGTAGTGGTAGAACAACGAGTATTAGGATATCCCACCCAATCGGCATCGCTAAATATAACAAAACGGATTGGAGAACTAGTCAGAAAGAATAAACCAAGACTAAGCGAGCCTATAAGATACCAAATGATACAACAAACAACTGCCAAGTTTAGATGCGTGGAGCTTGCACAAATTAACTGACCTGTTGAACGACAAAGGAGATATCTGGTTGTGTAATGGTAAGATAATTCAAGAAGAGGATCAGGAAGAGGATCCCCATCCTCATGATGATACTTCACATTCAATTCCAATAAATTATTAACTGGAGAAGAATCTTGAAGGCTAGCTAAAGCAATCAGATCTTGAGTGTACTTGTGTTGATGTAAGAACACACCAAAAAATAATATTGAACATTTAATCCCAAAAAATATATAAGAGAATAAAGGTCTTTCATATGAAAAGAATCTTTAAGATGTTGTTGGTAATTAGCGATCAATAAAAAATTAGTTCATGTGATAACAATGTTATCTACATATACAAGAAGAAGAACACAACCTGTAACTCTTTTTTGAAGAAACAAAGATGAGTTTGATATTAGTATAGTAGAAGATGATCTAATCAATTTCCATCAAGCTATAGAAAGTTTTAATTCTCAAAAGTGGATTGATACCATGAATGAAGAGATAAAGTTCATGAAGGACAATGACATTTGGGATCTTATCCCATGAATGCAAAACTCATTGGTTGTAAATGAATATTTAAAACCAAGAGGGATTTAAAAGGTATTGTGAAGAGGTACGAGACTCGTCTTGTCATTAAAGGCTTTATAGAAAAAAAGACATCGATGAGAAATTCAAAACAAATGGTGCAACCAGAAAATTTTGTATATGGAGATACAAAACAAATAGTTTGCAAACTAAAGAAATTCATTTATGAACTTAAACAGGCTTCCCGTCAATGATATCACAAATTTCATCAAGTCGTCATCTCATTTAGTTTTGAGATGAATTTAATGAAAGATTGTTTATACCAGAAGTTCAATGAAAGTAAATATATATTTTTTGATATGTCGATGACATACTGCTTGCTAGTAATGATATAAGCTTATTGCACGAAATTAAGAAATTTTTAATACAGAAATTTAATATGAAAGATCTTGGGGATGTCTTTTTTGTATTAGGGATTTAGATATATTGGGATCATTCTCAGAATATTTTTGAATTATCATAAAAGAGTTATATCGAAAAGGTTTTTAAAAGGTTTGCCATATAGGATTGTAAACTAGGTGACTCCCCTGTGTCTAAAGGAGACAAGTTTACTCTAAGTCAATACTTTAAGAATGACCTAGAAACTATAGAGATGTAAAAGATTACTTATGCTTCAATTGTAGGAAGTCTAATGTATGCACAGATTTGTACGCATATGGATATTGCGTACATCATTGAGATGTTAGGTAGATATTTAAGAAATTCAAGTATGGATCATTAAAAAGTAGCCAAACATGTCATGTGGTATCTATAGAGAACAAAAAGTTATACCATTGACGGAAAACCTACTTAAATCTATAGATAGATTTTTTTAATTTGCAAACGATTTGCTTTGCATATCCGGATGTAAAATTTTCTAATTGCACCATATAAATTGTCTCATCAATATCACTATTGAGAAACACTGTCTTAATATCCATTTGATGTAACTCAAGATCAAAATGTGTCACTAAAATCATTATAATTGTAAAAGAGTTTTTCGATAAAATCGGATAGAAAGTCTCTTTATAATCGATGCATTCTTTCTGTGTAAAGCCCTTAACGATAAGACAGGTCATGTATGTCTCCATATTACCTTTCGAATCCCTCTTGATTTTAAATATCCATTTACAACTAATGAGTTTCGCATCCTTAGATAATGAGATAAGATTTCAAACGTCATTGTCCTTCGTGGACTTTATCTTTTCATTCATGGCATCAAGATATAGAAAGTTGAGATGAAAGATCTTGGGACGCCTCTTTTGTATTAAAGATTCATATACACCGAGATTGTTCTCGGAGTATTATTAGATTATCACAAAAAAAACTATATTGAAAAGGTTCTTAAAAGATTTGACCTGCAAGATTATAATTAGGTGACTCCCCTGTGTCTAAAAGAGACAATTTTACTCTAAGTCAATATCTCAAGAACGACCTAGAGACTACGAAGATGCAAAAGATTCTTTATACTTTAGTTGTAATGAGTCTTATGTATGTACAGGTTTATGCGCATCTAGATATTGCGTACATTATTGGGATATTAGTTAGATATTTAAGCAATCTAAACATAAATCATTGAAAAACAGTCAAACGTGTCATGTGATATCTACAAAGAACAAAAAGTTATTTACTCACATATATGAGGTCAAATCAGTTGGAGATCATTAGTTATTCTAATTTTGATTTCACTAGATGTCAAGACACAAGAAAATCTACATCAAACTATATTTACTTGCTTGTTGGTGGAGCTATCTCCTGGAAGAGTACTATACAAACACTTGTAGCCTCTTCTACTATGATAGTAGAGTTTATAACTTGTTATGAAGCATCTAATCATGGAATATGATTGCGAAATTTGTCACTGATTGCGTATTGTTGATGGCATAAAAAGACCATTAAAGTTATTTTTTGATAATAAGTCAGCAGTTATATATTCCAAACAATAAGAGCTCGATAAAGTCAAAACATATAGATATTAAGTTCCTCGTTGTTAAAGAAATATTTCAGAGCAAATAGATATCGATATAATACATTAGAATAAACTCCATGATTGCAGATCCGCTCACTAAGGGATTACCATATAAGGTCTTTCATGAGCACACTGTTCATATGCCATGAAAGAAAATAATATTTTATGGTAAATGATGATAAAGATAAAGTTTGAAATAATAGATGACATTCCAAAGTATGGTTAATACTACATGTGAAGGAGATGTGGGAAAAAATATACATGGGCATGGATAAATTTCAAAAATACATCAAGTGGATGGTAGGAAATAGGGACACAATCAGTTTTTGAAAGGACTTTTGAATTAGAGGGTGAGTGCTCAGAGTTTAGTTTCTCCATATTTTCGCTATTGCATGATACAAAGATATCTCAATACATGAGTCATTCAGAGATATTGTTAGGGAAAGGGAGTGGCATGTGGAATGAAGAAAAACCTCAATGATTGAGAAATTAATGAGTATGAGTCTTTCCTAGGTACAATCTATTTCGTCTCAATTATCGGGAATAATGACCAACTATTTTGAAATCTCAATACCATAAGGACCTTCTCAGTTAGGTCTTTCTATAACTATTTAGTTAAGAATGACATCATTGAGACCAATTTTCTTTCCAAAGCAAATCTAAAAGTGAATGTTTCATCCAGAGTTGTTTTCTTTGCATGGGAGATAGGGCGTTGGTATATTCTTAATGTTGATAAGTTAATGAAAAAGGAAAAGATTATGGTGAATGATTGTTTTCTATGCAAGAGGGAGCTGGAATCTTGTAATCACATCTTGCTTTGGTTCCTGTTTGCGTATAAGTTATGGACCATTGTGTACAGTTTACTGGGGGTTGATTGGGCAGTAGTCGTTATGATAAGAAATGAGATTTGGGCCTAGAAGGGTATTAGTGATGGTAAAATATATGTCTATCTCATTCTCACTACTATATCTTGGTTGGTGTGGAAAGAAAAAACAAGAGAGGTTTTAAAGGGATGGAAAATGATTTTGATAAGTTTCGAGATAGGTTCCAGACCATGAGTTTTTTGGTTATGGGTCATCTCTTTATTCTATAGAAGTTCTCGTTAATCTTATTGACATCCCAATTGACATGTAAATATTCTATATATGAGTTGACACCCCTTAGTACTTGTACATTAATGATACATACCGTACTTTTTATTTCAAAAAAGAAAATTTACATGTCAATCCCACCTCTTCCCAAGATGCTCCTACTTTGATCTAACTAATAAGCATCTGAGTCTGGATATCTATTTAAGCATTCTCACAAGCAGATTTTCCATGAATTAGTGGAAAACTGAAACTAGTCATCCAACAGCTTATGTAAGAACCTGTGCACAAGAAACAGAATAATCATCATATTGAAAAATAATTCATATGCTTCTGGTTGCCCTCACAATATGAAGATCTTGAAGAACCTTCATCCAGTTCTTATTTCTCTAATAAAACAATATGGAATATGAGTTTGCAAGCATGCGTAAAAGCTTCCCTGCCAGACTAACTGGAGGCACTTTAGTTTATTATTTATAATTTTCCTCGTCAAAATTCACTTTCTTTAACACAACATCTTAGACTTCATATTTCAATGGTTTGCCATACTCCCAATTTGATGAGTTTAGATCATATTTCGTGAAAGATAAACAAATAAACTAGAAAAAAGAAAAAAAAAAAGAAAAAGAAACCTCTTATCCTTATGATGCTAGACAGATCAACAGGCAGAGGATAACTAAATAACTGCACAGTTAAACAATTAGATAAATACCTAATCAGCTCCACCATCTTACGCAAATATTGAGTAACTGCTTAAATGTTACCAAATGTAAAACATCCACAAAAGCAAGAATGACATCAATTAACTTATTTACCACTTTGATTTGCTGATTTTTCAGTCCTCGTTCGTTTAAGAGGTCAAGTGCAGCCACTATTGTTCTACCTGAATCAATTATAAAGAATAAAGTGAGGATAAACAATCAGACAGTTTCTAGCCCATCATAAAACTCCCAATGAAAACATGATG